ATTGCTGGTCCTTCTCTGACATTTTTTGTCTAACAAGCTGCTCGAGATGCGACGCCCCTTTCTGGGTGGTGTATGTTTGGACATCTGTGTCGAAACGCTTCTCGGCGTCTTGGATAGCCCCCAAATCAGCATCCCAGTCGTCAAGCTTGACTATATCTCGGAGAAAGGCTAGGCCGCGGGTGCGATAATAAGCACAAACACTCTTAATCTGGTAAGAGAGGAACGCTTTGTAGAGGCCAACAATTTGGATCTTCAATTCGCCTCTCATTCCATCGAGTTCGCTGATGTTGGTGAGCTTGAGAAGGCTTTTCGACGAATTCCAATGCCAGTCCATTCTCTTAACAACGTAGTCGATCCCTTTGCGGTTAGCTTCGGTCGCTTTTATAGGGTTGGCAAGCATCTGCAAAAGTTAGCATGAGAAATATTATCCTCCAGATAAACGTACCTCTAGAGCAATACAAATACCGGTCCATGGAAGCGCAGCTTGGGGCACAGTCTGGATTGCCTCACTTATAATTTTCTTAACAGATAGAACAACGTCCACGACTCCGCCACAGCTCTCTTTCACTTTGGCCTCCCTCTCAGTCTTGGCTAGGCCGGCATTGATAAGCTGCATCATTTGGCGGCGTCTGTCCAAGTTGTTTTGGGCGATGATGTTCGGCTGAGACTTGATATTTGGCTGAGACTCGAGCATCATTGAGTTGGAGCCACTTTGTAGCTGTCGGGACAGCATCTTCTCATATGCGTTTACCAATTCGGTCTCTTCTTTTTTGAATTCATTATAGGCATCCTCCCAGAATTTTACGGATAAGCTGGTAGTAGTGTCATCTGTGCTGGCGGACGTCTCTATGCTGGTAGGATTGGTAGCTGGAGTCGCTGGGAGGCGAACAATGGTGTCATCCGCGCCGGCGGACGTCTCTATATTGGCGGAACCGGTAGCCGGAGCGGTTGGGGGCCGTGGGGTGGACGTCTCCATATTGATGGAACCGGTAGCTGAAGTGACTGGGAGTCGTGAGGTGGACGTCTCTACATCAGTAGAACCAGCAGCCAGAGCGGACGGGAGGGGGAGGGAAGACATAGAGGTAGTGACGGGGATGTGCTGTGCAGGGCAAGACTACCCTTGGTTCTTAGAACTTTTCCTATCTTCCGCATTTCTGTGTCGCTTGGAACGCGTCTGAAACCACGAGCATATCTTAGCAGGAGGAACATCTTGATTTAGGCGACATAGTGATGCACTCGAGGATGATCGTTTTGTCTCGGCGTTTTGTCTCGAAGGCAGCGGGTGCTATGTTTGATGATCGATGGATCAAGTTTATGAAAGCGCCTGGAATTCCTCTCTTCTGCTATCTAGGAAAAAACAAGGAAAAGAAACTAGAACACTGTGTTTTCTCGAGGGCATGAGGGAGCATAGGACTCTGCGTTGTCACTTTGTTAGGCACGAGATGGCTGGTGGCTTCTCCCAATCACACGCCAATTATCCAAACGCTATTTGTTTTTTGAGCTGGGCATTCATGGACCCAGAAGGTTCAGGGCGCCAAATCAATTGCCTGGGTTGGGCGAGGGTCGTGGCTTTCTGTCACGGGTCTACAGTGTACCAAGCAGCGGGCGTGGCGCGGGTAGGGCTGTAAATCCGAGTGGAACCTGCAAATTGCAGTAGAGCCTAGGCTGCCGATTGCTGCCAACAACCAAGGCGTTGTGATAACCAGTGTCCTTGAGCGGACAATGCATTGATGCCTTACTTTCGATTTCCTTTGGGACTCGTGGGCGCATGGAACCCGGACGCCAAGCGGCGA